AAGAAAAGTAAATAGCAAGTTAAATAGCTACATGCCATAGTTCTGTAGCGGTGACTACACAACAGAAACTTTTCCGTCTGTAAAAATCCAGTCCGTCAGCAAAATGTGGTTGCACAGTGGAAAACTGATTGGAAAAACAACACAGCTAAACTCACCTTAGTGACTGCTGTAAAGTTCCTTCAACGGCAGAGAGAAAAATTAGAAGCAAAGAAACTAAGACGGAGTTCACCAAAGTCTCTGCATGCATGTTTAGATCCCCAACAGAAACCTGAAGTGAAGTGCCTTCAGGAATTTCCACTTTCCAAAACAGAGGGAGAACGGGCTGGCCAGATCTAGCTTGAATGCTTAAGAGGCCAACAGCGCTCTCGTATGAATGCCTTTGATTAGTTGTGACTCAAAGGCTGGAGCAAGAGATAAAATGGCAAAAAAGAAAAATTGGTCACTATAATTCAAAACATTCATTCAGATTATTCTGAATTTTACTTTCCATATCCATGCAATGCTGTCCTTTTCTTCAACAGAATATCTCATAATTGAAATGTTATCTTTAGTTGCTTGCATATTGTAAAAGCTGATTTGCTATAACCTCAATTATATAGATGCAGAACTAACACAGAACAGGATATAAAATGGAGAAAGATGGTTATTAAATTAAGAATCTCTTTCAAGACATTTGAATGAGTTGTGTTCTCTTTCACTAATGATTTCAATTATTCTATCTATTTATATGATGTCTATTTAACGACAAACCTTTTGTGCTTAAAATTCACTCCATATACTGTGTCTGCAAACCACATGAATAATTACATTAAATAAATGTACAAATATAGTAGCTACAGACACCAACCAAGCAATATGGCCAACACTGTATAACATATATTGTCTTCGAGCATATTTTGAAGAATTAATCAGTGTGATTATCTTTGCAAAGATAATCACACTGATACAAAAAAATGAAAATGCTGTCATTATTTATTCACCCTCATCTCAAAACCTGTAAGACTTTTGTTAATCTTCGTAACAAAAATGAAGATCTTTTTTTTGGTAAAATTTGAGAACTTTCTGTCCCTCCATTGACAGCTTTGCAACTACCATTTTGACCTTTCTAAGAGTTTATAAAGAGATTGTACAACTAGCCTAATCCATATGAATTGAGTGGTTTAAAAGCAAATTTTCGGAAGAGACTTGATCGCTTGATTTAATTTAGGTTTTAATTTAGGAATTACACATATGATGTTCGTAAATTTAAAAAAATAATTCTGAAAGTCAAGAAAGTCGCAGTTTGTCATAAAACAGAAGCGTAACATTTAGTTTTATGTGAAAATTGCTCAATGAACTATATCTCCTGGGAAGCGAAACAACGATCAGAGGTACATTTCCCGTACAACGACGTAGTTCGCTGATTCACTACCATAGTACGATGCATCGTTGGAAAAAATCAACTAGCTAGTCATGACTGTTTCCCAAAACCCACGGTCGCAAAGTATCGTTCAACCCCGTTGGTTTCGCACGTGGTGGAGTAATATAACTACTTTTAATGAAACTGTTTGAGATCCAATTAACGCTAGATTTGTTTTAAATAAATTACAGACATGCCATCTGAGGACTATTTATAATTGTTCTCAGTTGTTTTGCTTTATTACCAGACTCAATATTTGGCTCGTTCTTACATAGTAGAACACGTTCGCACATGCGCACTCTTCAAACACGTTACTTCAAATCTTTTGACAAACTAAAAGACGTAAATTCCATTTGTGTGTATTCTAAATAAAAGGCACCGGTTGTACTGAATGTCAGCTTGCTTATTTTGCAAGTTTTCCACACAACTTTGCGATGCTGTTTGCGAATGTTCGTTGGAACGATGGTTTCGGGAAACACCGACTCGTTGAACTGATAACGACGGAACTTGCGACCATAGTTGGCTAACGATGCTTTCGGGAAACGCACCCCAGGATCGGTTGATCCATGTGTGCAGTTTGGTACAATACACTCAGGCATGATGGCGTAACATTACGATTATGACGTACAACTAGAAAAAATGACAGACATTAGCTTCAGTAAAGTTAGCTTCATTCATTGTGAAAATGTGCGGCTTTGGGGTTTGTAGTCTTTGTAACATATTTTCACAGTCTTATACCTCAACAGTTTTACATCAAACTGCGACTTTCTTGACTTTAAAATGTATCTTTTAAATTGACAAACATCATATGTGTAATTAAGGGCACAATTCAAACAAGATCAAAATATTTGTTGTCTCTCGCCATTCCTACCATATAATATTTTTCCGAAATATGGTCTTATGGTGTGTGGTTTTTTTGATGATTTGCGCGAGTAGATGACATACAAAGTAGGGATGGGGAAATGAAACCATGAAGCAATGAGGCTTTCCCCTTCCGGGAAAAGATTCAAAGCTTTGCAAGTGTCGAGAACAGCTCCGTCTAGTGATCATTTAAAATAAAGCAGCCAGAAGCCGTGTAAGAGTCAGATGAAGAACCACACACTCCATAGTTTCAATGTTATGTGAATGAACAAAAGCCTTACATGTTTCTGTTTGATTTATCCATTAAATAAATTCCTTTACCCATTGAAGTGTGACAAAAAATATAAAATGGGCTTGTATGATTGACACACGGTTCAGTAATTCATGGAATGGAAATGATCAACATTCAACAACAACCGAATTTACTTCCACAAATTAGAAAATCACAGATATAGCCTATGTGTTTCCACGTGTTCACATCCTGTTGATTTAGATCTGTGATCTTGGGGGAATTCATACATTAACTTTAAACTCGAGAGAGCGATCAGCATTCTCTTTCCATGACAGCAACATTTTAATTAGCATAAACAAAACAAACACTCCGTCCACACCTGTAGAGTGAAGTTCAGACGATACATCTACAACCCAATGGTACATCGACCAAAAACAGCTTTTACCTTTCCTCCGTATGATATCATACTGAGGAGATTCAAGATCAGCCCATCTGAGCTTTCATTTGCTCAAAGGCAGAGGAAGATGGTTTACACCGATTGAAATTTATAGCAACTGGGGGACCATATACAGGCTAGGGAACTCATATTAATGTTAAAAAACTTCAGAAAGTGAAAATTTCATGTCAGGGGACCTTTAAACAATAACTATAGAAACTTTAGGCCTAGTTGGCGGCAAATGACTTGTTCAAAAGATTTGTTGATTTGTTCGCATTATTTATTTTTACTTGCTGTAAGCTATTTGTAGTCTCCTTCACTTGCCAGTAAAAAAAACAAAAAACAAAAAAAAAAACACGTGGACAAGCAGACAAGCTTTCAGACAAGTGTTAGTCTGTCAAGATGTTCAAGACTTAGTTATTTCCCCTTTTTCTGCTCTGTGCCCCAGTAGGCTACACTCATTCCCACTAAATCTATACATTTTTTGTAATTTAAATTGTTAAACAAAATTTAAAATAAAAATCTTTTCCTTTAAATATTATTTAAATATGTAAACAAATAATTTTTGATTTTCTTTAAAAAAATTTTTAAATAAGGTTTTAAGAGGTTTTCAAAGAATAGGGCACAATGGCGCCCCCCTCTCGTCCGAAGCCCTATGAACTGCATAGGCCCACCATATTTTTGCGTCATTCAACCCTTGACATGTGAGCTAAAGATTGGAAAAGTGTACATTTTGGATAAAAAGTGTAATAACAAAGCAATTGGAAATTTACTTAAAAGTAAAATATTTTATGATTTCAATATACCTACAAAAATTAGAATTAATGAAAATGAAACATTCAGTAAAAAGTATTGTTATTATCTTAAATGGCCAATTGTACCTAAAATAAAGGAGATGCAGTTTAGAATCATCAATAATAATAATCTTGCTACTTAAATCTTAAGGAAAAGATTCCGTTTTGAAGTAGGTAGATTTAAGAGGATTTTGCTCAAAAGAGCCTGAAAGCATTGAACATCTATTTTTTTCTTGTCCGGTCACACTGCAATTCTGGCAGGACCAGCTGGCTAAGTATTGGTATTGATATTCCTTCACTCAATGTATCTCAGGTTTTGATGTATCTAGACGGTCTCTCTAAAAATTTTGTCATTGATGTTAAACGTTATTATTTCATTGGTATATCATATTCATAAAAGCAAGTGGAATGTAAACCCTCTTTAACTTGTTTTAAAAATGAATTTAAGATTTATTTAGCATCCATTAAATACTTATCCAAAGATAATCAGTCCCTCTGTAAACTGTATAAAACATGTATGTATCTCTTTCTAATTTTTGGTTGTTTTTTTTTGTCTAAAATGTATTTTATTTTTTTTCTTTGCAATTTGTAACCCCTTAAATGTTTGAATATTGCTTTTGATTATTGTACTAATTATGCAATTGTTTTTTGTTTGTTTGTTTTTTGTTCTAACCTATGTAATCATAGGTGCATATGCACTGATATGAATGGTTTATTTTTGTATACATAGTATTGTTCCCTATTTGAGTTTGTAAATTGATACTGTTTCAATAATAATAATAAAAAAAAAAACAAAAAAAAAAACCTTGACTTGTGTTATTTCAAATGATGATAAATGAGAATTAATATTTGGTCCATTTGTAATACTATTTGTTGTTTTATTATGATTATCATTGTTGATTTTGTTTGTTGTTTTAATAGCAAAAAGCATTTGGGTAATTGGTCTTTTCACTCAAACAATTTTAAAACTAGATCCTTGTGATAATAGTAATATAATACTAATATTTATTATTTCCAATGATAATTTTAGGATATGTTGTTATAGGCCTATTGAATTTTAATCAATGTTCTTCCTATTCAAAACTGTCTATTCAATAACATTTAACAGTGACTAAAAATGCGATTTCAAATTCTTTTTTTTTCTCAATTCACCAGCATTTAACCAATATCCAACATTAACAAAAAAGCTAAATTTATTTTTTTTTTTTAGATCAATATATAGCCATGTCAAGGCCTGCGGGATCTCATCCTACGAGCTGCGCTCTAGCGGGTCACGCGCGTCTGATGCGCATCTGTCGAGCGGCTGCTGTGACTGTGAACCTCGTGCTCAGTACAACGAGAAATGGACTATACATCGCGTTAACGACCAAACTTCAATAACCAGTAAGTCAAAGAGCGTTTTTCTGTCGTTTCGGCGTGTGAGTTCGATTAGAGTGTCGCATAAGAGATGCATTGTGTTTTATTCGGCTTGTTTGCATGTCTAATGTTACCAGGAAGTGTGTGGACCGACTGCGCAGCTAAAAGGCCTTTGTTAAAAAAAACAGCACTATCAAAGATTAAAAAGCTTTTTTGTATACGCTTATGACAAATGTAGACAATAATTCAAGCATTTTCCTAATCGACATGCCTCTATATTTTGTGCAATTCGTGTGTTTTTGCTTAAGAGGTTATTTAGCTAGAGCTAGCAGCAGCAGCTCTGCTCTCATCTGTTGCCATGGTAACCGTGTGGCAGCAGGAGGAATCTCCCTGCATAATGGCTGATGTCACTCTGTGCCACAAGTTAGAGCTAATTCAGAGCAGGACCATGGCAGGTATATGGAAGCGAGGCTGTGAGGTATCTCAACGGTGTCCGCTTTAAAAAGCTGCATAAGAGCTCCTAGATCACATACAATTTTCCACAGCTCATGTTGTCTGAAATTTTTTTTTTTTTTTTTTGTCTACTGAAAATTCGTAAAAAGATATTTTGCAATGTTTCGTCAGCAGAACAATCCAAAAACCCATTAAATAACAGAACAACCCACTGAAGAGATGTAGGTCCATCCATCACAGCCTTGCTTTAAAAATCAATGATATTGCTGTAACGAATAATGTATACTGACTGACATGATCTCAAGTCAGTTTTATTTGGATGTTTTGTTTTTAAATATGATAAATCTTTGAAGACAGGTGGTTTTTGGTAATGGCCAGTAAAAATGGAGGTCTTGCATTAAATAGGCCTGTCAGATGCTGGGTGTTCAATAATCATACAGTGTTATTTGGATCAACCTAAGATTAATGATTCGGATTTTGTGGATTTTGAAAATGTCTGGGTGGTTGTTTGTAATAACACAGGGCTAAGAGGCTAAACATGGAGAGAGAGAGAGAGAGAGAAACAGACAGAGAAAGATACATACTTTATTGATTTAATTTTAGGGAGTCCCCACCAGGAATTATTTAGCAGTATTGTCATTAACAACATTTGCCCCCTGGGATTTTTTTTAAATTACAAAAGTAACTTTAAACAATGAGATATCCCAACACAACAGATGCTTTGCTAGAAATTCATTAAAAAATCATTTGTCTCTACATTTGATTGGATTCTGAACTGTCACGGTATTATTTGAGGTAATTGCTGTTGCAGAGTTGGTTTGGACTGTGTAATTTCATGAGCAGTGAGAGCTATTTTAGAGCTTAGGCTATTTCATATTTTATTTTTTTCTCTCCATGAAAAAGAAAATCATATGAGCTTCAAATACAGACAGTTACAGATTAATATTTTGCATACAGTCATGGCCAGAATTATTGGCACCCTTGGTAAATAAATATGATCAAAAGATGGCTGTAAAAATAAATATGCTTTGTTTATCCTTTTGATTGACATTTTCATTAAATAATGTCTATAGTCTATACCTTTTATATAAATATCTAACATTTCACTGGAATATTGGTGTATTGGTAGAAAATCTCTACCAATAGTCCTATTCCCCAAAAAGGGAATAGGTCACTACTCTTACTATGGTGGCTCCCAGCATGCATTGCCGCATGAAGCATGTCACCATTGTTGAGATTCATATGCTGATTCTTGATGTCTGTGTGTGTGTCAAAATACTTTTTTCCCCATAATGTATTTTAAAATCAGAATCCAGAATGTCTGATCTGCTGCAAAGTTTTGCTGGTAAACTTTTTTAAAAAAATCACTTATGGTGAGAAATAAGATTAGGAATTTATTCTAGTTTATGAGGCTGAAAACTTGATCATCTTGGTTTCTTTTTTATAGCAACAAATTATGTGTTTTTCTAAATACTGTTACAAAGAACACATATTCACACAAGAAGCCAAACAGACCAACCAAAGGAAATGCTCATCACTAAATTTCAAGGCACGTAAGAAGGGGGAACCAGTGGATGGTCAACCGAAGTTTTAAAATAAATAAAATGAAAGTAAACGGCAGCAGCCATAGCAGTGACGCTCATTAACACTCGCACGTCGCACCACTGGCCTCACTCCGTTTCCACAGCTCGTGCCCTGCTCTTCACAGTAACATTAAAACAACAGTAATTTGAACGATAAAATCTTGTTTTTTCCATGTAATCCACTATTATTTTTAGTGTCGACTAGTAGCAGCTGTACCATTTAGTCGACTAGTCTTGCACATCCGTAATATTAGAATCCATGATAGCATGTACTGTATCTGAAGGGACAAGATGCCCAGGACCTCCAGCAAAAAATAGGCCTTGTTACCACTGTGTAGGCTGGTGGTGGTGGTGTAATGTTGTGGGAGATGTTTTCTTGGCACACTTTACGCCCCTTAGTGCCAATTGGGCATTGTTTAATTGCCACAGCCTACCTTAGCATTGTTTCTGACCATGTTATGGTCACCATGTACCCATCCTCTGATGGCTACTTCTAGCTGGATAATGCACCATGTCACAAAGCTCGAAACATTTCAAATTGGTTTCTTGAACCTGACAATGAGTTCACTGTACTAAAATGGCCCCCATAGTCACCAGATCTCAACCTAATAGAGCATCTTTGGGATGTGGTGAAATGGGAGCTTCGTGCCCTGGATGTGCATCCCACAAATCTCCATCAACTGCAAGATGCTATCCTATTAATATGGGCCAACATTTCTAAACAATGCTTTCAGCACCTTGTTTAATCAATGCCACGTATAAATGAAGGCAGTTCTGAAGGCAAAAGGGGGGTCAAACACAGTATTAGTAAAGTGTTCCTAATAATCCTTTAGGTGAGTATCTTTGGTTTTACTCATTGTGATGGATGAATAAGGGAATTTGGCCTCCCCAAATCTTAACCAAAAAAGCCTTTGGGGGAATAATTATCCTTTCTCATTGCCTATAGCTTATACAATCTAATCTAAAACACTAAACATTTATGTAACAAGCCAGCCTAAAAAAACGGCACCAGCCACCATTAAAGTGTTTAGTGATGACATCCTGCCTTTAGGCTTACAGTCCTTTCTGAAGAAGTGAGAGTAATTGTAGTCTTCTGCAACTTACTCCTACATTACTGCACTTACACCCTATAATTTAGTTTTCACTTGTCTTCAAACCTCTATCTATCAACAAATGCTAACTGTAGCAATTACTTCACAAATTGCCTGTGACTATGTGGAAGCTGTTCTTAGCAGATCACTATGTTCTTGACATTTAATGTGAGAACTTTTAAGATTCAACTTTCCTTTGTAGACTTCACATTTTTATCAGACGCACACTTTGTGTGCATCTTGCCATTGATCCAAATTGACATTGAACGACCTTGTGTCACATCTGACTTCATCATGTTAGCCTGACTTTACTGGGCATGACAGTTGCTTGGAGTTGATTTGTTGCTTTTGTGATGATATCACATGTAAAGGTCAAGCTTTCTGTTATGAGATGCAGCATTCATTGACTGGACTCCTTAATAAATAAGAATAAAAGGCTAATGATGTTCTTGCAGGACAGGCCTCAACTCCACCGATCAGCTGTTTTTCGTACTGAATTCAATTCCTCTCTATGCCGGGGATGAATGCACCAATGAGGAGCCTGACCGTGAGTAACCTGGTCCCACAATCCCATCCGTCCATGACTCCGCCACTCAGTGTTGCATATATTCCTTGTCTGATGTGGTGGACATTATTTGTCGATATAATTGTACCCATTTGGTACACCATATGCCATGTTGACTAACTGTTGTGTGTTATTTACAGGGTATGCCTGATCGCATGTTATGTGCAGTGCTGGAGCAATTTCAGCTTTACTTTTCCCGTTGGTATGTGCGCTTTGTTTCAGTGAGTGTGTGATATCCATGTTTTATTATTGTCCTCGGTAAGAATAGCTCTAATGCCAATATTATGCAGTCTCATTATCGGTCGCCTGTCGTTTGTGTTACACTGAAGATCCATTGTGATCTTTGCAGAATATAAGTCAGCATTTCTGTGTAAAGTCAACAGTCTGTGTTTTATGTACATCATGTGCTTGATTGTGTGACTGCAACACTACGATACATACTGCCTGGTATTGTACAGCCACCCACAATGAATACATTGCTCAAATCTGTTTGCATGCCACTGTAGTTACTTTGCTTAGGAATTTTGATTTGACACTTCCTCTCTGTGCTTTTTATAATTGGTAAACATAATTATAGTGATACGCATTTAGCCTGTTGCTAAATTGCAAAAACTGTTTCTAAATTTTGCTAAACTAAATTGATTTTCATTTTCTAATATTTAATTTGTAATATAATTGCTTAGAACACATATACAATCGAGTTAGGATCCAATAAAGAATAAATCTCATGGCTACAAACAGAATTTGAGCTTTGCCTGATATGTTGTTTAAGTTAGCTTTTGTGGTCGATGTGCTTTTGTCTTTCAGATCCACTCTCTCTATAGCACAGCGAGCCCAAGCATGCTGAAGAGGAAGCAGAGCTCGCGGGTCGAGGCCCAGCCCATGACTGACTTTGGGCCAGATGAAACTCTGACAGACAGTGCTGACATTCTTTGGATCAACAAACCAGTATGTGAACAAATCTCTGATATCTGAGTAATAATTTTTGACCCACATACCCACAAAAAGAGCTCAAACTTTTTCCCAAGTAGGTGCAATGTCATACGCAATTTCCTGTGAATGTGTGTAAGATTTCCCATTCATTAGCCGCTATAGATAGATAACTAGAAGAAAAAGAAAGTACAGTAAATGGTAGACCTGTTTTCAATATCAATCACCATAACATGTTTTTATGTACAGCTAAGATTATAGCTGTAAGTGGCTGAACACAAATGGAGATTCAGAATAATGTTAATGCTGCTCTTTCTTCACACTGTACTGGACTGGAAGCTTCAAAAAGAACAAATAAAGATTATACAATATTTTAAAGATTTTTTTTTAGTCACTTTGGATGGTGAATAGTGAATTTTCATTTAAACTATTTCTTTAAACTAATTTATTTTGCTGAATGTATAGTGGACAGACACAGCCCCAGTCAGGACAGGGTGCAAAATTGAAATCCTGAGTATGTGCCACACTTTTAAACAGATTGTGTTCTTTGTCTTCAGTGGGTTCATTCTCTCCTGCGGGCTTGTGCTATAATCAGTGTCATTTCGGTCTGTATGAATACACCTAAGACCTTCGAGCACTACCCGCCCCTGCAATATGTCACCTTTACCCTGGACACGCTACTGATGTTCCTCTACACTGCAGAGATGATCGCCAAAATGCATATAAGGGGCATTATCAAGGTAACACACTCAATCAGCATTGTCATGATTTATAGCGGAAATAGAATGAGGGAGAAAAGTGAAGTCCTTTGAAAGTGAATAAAATAGGCAGGTGGCTGAATAACCTGTGGTCAGTTTAATTGGTGAATCAGGAATAACAGCCCCATAGAAAGATATTTAATAGCGAGTCATTTGCCTTCTGAACCAGCCACAAGATGCGTACATGATTTTCTTTATCTTTCCTCTGGCATGGAAAGCAGAAAGGTTTATGTAGAAGAGTAATTAATTTTTTTTTTTTTTTTTTTTTAGCCCTGAGATCTTATGAGGACAGGGTGATTAACCTTGCAGCAATTATATGCTAAGTTAACACATGCATTTTAATTTTATTGAAGGAGAGGAACTCACATCATTATACAATGACCTCAACTCAGTTAATTAGGCCAGTATATTTGTTTTGTATTTCAATCTTTGGAGTGATTATGATCTGTGAAAATCAGACTTGTGTTGTTCTTTATCACTGTTAGCAGGCATCTTTTTGGTCATTAGGTATATTCTGCACTCAAACACAGCATTATAAACATGTACTAATGCAGTAGTCTGATCGTTGATTTATTTAATTTAATAATTCATTATCTGTTGCGAATTAGGCCATTTTCATTTTTCATTTTTTTTAAGTAACTCATTCATCAGCATTAACTATTTCAAATTCAGTCTCTCCTAGTTGCCATTAATAAAGTCAGACCTTCACACAAATTTTAAGCCATCCATTAAATAAATCATGTTTGTGGCCTACTATTACATGTGATCTGATCACTGAAGCTGATGAGAGGCTCTGAAATCCCAGGGTATTTCTGGACAGATGTCTTGGGAGAACAAGTGTTTCATCCACTGAAGTATCTGTCTCAATCAAAGAAAAGCCACTGGAGCATGAAGACAGTCTGCAAACAAACAAACCTGTGCACGTCACACCTCTGATGTCATTTCCTGTGCAACAGCTACATGTGTGAATAGGTAGTTGACATGATAAACCCTGTGGTGTCACATGCTGAGTGAAATGCTACACTCTATTTGAAACAAACCCTTTCTAGCCTCATATTTAATCAAAGACTATATGGAATATATGTACTTTCATATATATATATATATATATATGCTACTGGGGTCAGTAAGATTTTTAAAATGTTTTCTAAAGACGTTTTTAATGCTCACCTCTGCTGCCTTTATTTGATCAAATATACAGTAAACCTAATATTCTGAAAATACACTCTTTTATGTTTTTATATATTTTAAAATGTAATTTATTCTTCTGATGGGCAAAGCTGAATTTTCAGCAGCTATTACTCCAGTCATCAGTCACACGATCCTTCAAAAATCATTCTAATTAGATAACCAACTTCTTCCGAAACATTTCTCATTAATACAAATTTTGTTTAATATTTTTGAATATTAATTAACATTATTAATTAACATTTATATTAACAACCTTTATTTCTTCAACCAGAATAGAAAGACAATATGTCTTTATTTTTTCAACCAGAAATTTTCAGTCTCAACATGACTATCTAAAATAAACTGTTCAACATTTAAAAATAAATGCTTAAAAGTAACCAGTTACATGAACGAAAATATAAAGTTAACTTTTTAAATAGTTATTTTTATATAGTTATCTTCTACCTGCATATTTACTCCCATAGTTTAATTGTTCTCATTACCTATTTTTTTGTGCCATGTTTACTTTTTCTAGGTACTTTTTAGGCAATGTCTGGCAGGATTAATACTCTGAAGTTCTCACACTACAGAATTTGTCTGGCTCTGTTGTTAACAGCTGCCACAATCTTTCATTAGACCGGTAGACCAGCTGCCACTCACCTGCAGGACTTTCATTTGCAGCCTGTGTCTTATCAGCTGCCTCTTGTTTCCAGGGAGAGAACTCCTATGTTAAAGACCGTTGGTGCATGTTTGATGGCTTCATGGTGGTCTTCCTCTGGGTCTCTCTTGTGCTTCAGGTAGGCAAATTGTGTTTAGTGTTATTTCCAAATTTAATTGTTTCAAATTAAAAAGGAGTGAGCTTCATATGTAAATCCACTCATCTGCTTGTTCATCTGAATGGTCTCAAGGTGTTTGAAATAGCAGAGATTGTGGACCAAATGTCACCCTGGGGAATGTTACGCATACCGAGGGCCCTCATTATGATCCGAGCCTTCCGAATCTACTTCCGATTTGAACTGCCGCGCACCAGGATAACCAACATTCTTAAGTAAGAACCCCGCAAGTCCAAATAATGTGAGAAATGTAATCTTGTTAACATATCAACCACTTAAAATTCACTTCCTTTCAGGCGGTCGGGGGAACAGATCTGGAGTGTGACCATATTTTTGCTGTTTTTCCTGCTCCTGTATGGAATCCTGGGGGTTCAGATGTTTGGCACCTTCAATTTTCACTGTGTCACCAATGATACTCAGAGAGAGTAAGAAAGTTTCATCATCATTATTCTCTCAACTGTTCTCTTTAAATCCAATTAAATCATTTAACCTAATAGCCCAATAAATTAAGAACTTCTCTCCGTGTGGTAAGTTTTATCATAATTCTTGTGGTTTATCATCGCTGGGATGAATCAAGGGGATTTAACGTAATGCTGAAGTTTTTCCTGGCATCAGAGCAAGATAAGAAGTATGCGTCTGTTGCTGTACACCTCCCACACACATCTGTTATTTGGAATACAAATCCCATCAGCAGCTGTAAATGGAATTAATTACAGATCACCATTTTCGTCATGTGATGTCACAGCCTCTTAAACACTCAAGTAAGCCACATTACATGATACGTTTGTCTGAATTTCACATGGAGGCGCTTGAAAAGCCAACAGAAATTCATGTCTAAAAATGAACAGTAAATCTTGCTGGAACACTCGCACACATCCCAACTTGAGGGCGTGACGAAAGCAGGGTTGAGCACAGTCTTAATGCAGTGTGTGTATGGAGCTGTGGAGGTGGTTCTCTTTTAAAACCCTGGCCTATTTAATATTCTGTTGCAGATGAGTGGCGTGTCAGAGCCGGCACTAAAACAAAGAACCTAAACCATCAGCAACAGAAGAGTGTGCTGAGCACTAATCACAATAATTAACGTTTCCTGTGTTTCCTGGGCATCACGCACATGCTCGCCTCTTTTCAGCTGCCTGGCCTCAATCCGTCTATATGTGCATGAGAGAAAAGAGCTCTTATATTGTGAGATGTCTCACTGCACTGACATTCAACATATTATTATTCAAAAGGTGTTAGTCAGAAGTTAAAAAATATTGTCTGTCATGTAATATATAATGCAGACAGGCAGTATTTTCATAGGTCATGCAAGTATTTCAGAAAAAACTCAGTGTTGATGATCGTGCAGAACTAGCCTACGTTATTTGTTATTGGATAGTTGAATTACACAAGGATTTAATTGGATAAATGTGCTAGGGAGTTTGCCAGACTTGTGTCTATTGGGGATATATTTTTAAACTTGATGTCATGTCGTTTTATTTTTTGGGTGCTTATCGAATATGGATGATGAGCACAGGCCTTGTGACCTTGCCAATCATAAACTATCACATTGTTTAGAAAATGTCCCACACATTCCTCTCTCAACTACAGGCATCAAGTTATGACAGGTGATCAATATAATACAATCTCTGTTTCCGTCTGTTTCCTAGCATTTTGTATACATTTAAGTATATAATACTTAACTAAAATTGGTCATTTCATTGATGTTATCGGTATCTTTTGACTAGTGTTTGATGTCAGTTTCTTCAAAGGGATGATCTCTTTGGCGGATTATTTATCACCGTATGATTAAAGCTATTTTGATTCGCCGCTGTGCCTCTGATTGGCCTTTGTGATACTGCAATCAATGATCCCTACTCGTTTCAGTCTTTAATAAACAATTTGAAAGTATGTCTGGCAAGCCAATTTGAAAGCATTAATTTTCATTAGAGACATCAAGTGCTTACTAAAGTAACACCTGTGGTCCAATCTAAAGCTGTCTGCATGTGCATGCGTGTCAGAATAGTGTTAGAATAGGTATATCTTTTATCATCTTTCATTTAATTAAGGTTTTATTTAGAGTTCTAAATAAAGTTTAGTTATGCAATAGAGTGGATACAGTCTATAAGATCTAAACATGAAAATCTGAGAGAATAAAAAGTAGCGTGTGTGTGTGTGTGTGTGTAAAGAAAAACAGGAAAGCACAACATTTTGTGTTATCTTTCAAATCTTGATTGCTTTGGATTAATGTAATTCTCTAAGATATGCAATATAATAGATTCAATTATGTAGGTCAAATGTAGTAAGTAATAAAAAAATATATATTTTTGCTGTTGACATTACTGAAACTTGACTCCTAGCATGGTTTTCATGTGACTTACTGTAACATGAAAAGTAAAAATGTCTCTGATCAAGATGAGAAAATGAATTTAAACTTAGTGTTTAGATATCAATTAATGTTCAATTATGTTTGTATTTAGAACCATTTAATTTACACTGGGTTACCATTACAGTGAAGAGCTTTTGCTTAGCCTGATGATGAATACATATGAAGACAGATGTATATTCTCCTTTAAAACTCCTGTCGATGCAATTAGTAATGTTGACTTTGTGTTGCCAAAGAGCACCAGAATAACACTACTAGTCTGTGAAACCACCAGATGGCCTGTTACAATATAGTCATTGATTTGATAAGATATAAAATTTGATAATAATTCTTTGAAAACTCACTCTGGTCTTTTTCCAGTAATGTGACATGGAACAGCCTTGCAATTCCTGATACACACTGCTCTCCAAACGGGGAGGGTTATCAGTGTCCAGCGGGCTTTAAGTGTATGGATCTGATGGAAGACTTGGGACTTAGCAGACAGGAACTCGGATATAGTGGCTTCAATGAGCTTGGTGAGTCATTGCGGCACTTGCATGATGAAATGATGTTTGAAATCTTGTTTCTTCTCTGTTCATTTTCATCCATGCTGTTCTCTGAAGAATATATTAGTAGTGCTTGCTAATGCAATATTTCAGCTCACATTTTCCTTCAAACATAAAATCCCTAATCTGACTAACATATTAACATATTACTGTAATCATAATTTATATCAGTTAATAATTACCAAAAATCGTTACCAAGCATATAATAATGCGACATATAATGTATATATATATATATATATATATGAAGAGTTCAGATGCAAAAGCCTCTAAATGCCATTTGAAATTTTCTTCTTGAATGATGATTTTTATCAAACTTGTATATTTACGTTCAGTAATTTCACTTAAATAACAATTAATAGGTAATTATCATTGCCATTTAAGTGAGATCACTGAACTTAAATATACAAGTTTGATAAAAATCATCATTAAAGAAGAAAATTTCAAATGGCATTTAGAGGCTTTTGCATCTGAACTCTTCTATATATATATATATATATAAAATAAACACAGCTCATCAAATTAAGATAAAGAATTAGAACTATCTTCCATATATTTCACTTTTTTAAATGATAGGCCTAATATGAATATTATTATTTTTTCTTTTACTTCAATAAAACATTGTCTCTGGCCTTTTTTTTTTACTAGGAAATATAAGCCTGATTGGTCTAGTTTTAATTGTGGAAAATTATACCATCTCTGCCCTTTGTAATTATGTACAGTGATTAAGAGCAATCATGTATTTTTTGACAAAGTGTGATTAATTGTAGCATTTTTAGCTGAAGCATTTTGAGTTGATCTATGCATTATGTGCAAGCAAACATTAACAGATAAATGCCCCCCCCCCACTCTCTCTCTCTTTCTGCAATTTTGTAAATGTAATATTTTCAGCAAAGCTTATTATTTCAAAGCATTGTGAAGGCAGCTTCACTAATAGACCAGTTTATTTAAGCACCTTGATCTGTATGGAGCAGCATGCCATATTTTTATCGCTTTCATTTAAGATAAATCCACTAGAAAGGTGCACAGAGCAGTGCCACTAATCTCCAAGTAGCCATGAAGGGAGGCTTTTCCCTAGAAAAACAGTTGTGGCTTTGAACTGTTGACTTACAGAACATTGAGATCTGTGAAAGGGCCCTCCTTCGTTTTCTTTATAGAGTTCAGTACACAGATAAGTCATGTGTAAGTCAACCAGAACCGCTCCTGCATCAGTGATCTGTCATCCATTCATCTGTGTTCACAGTGCAGATTGCAGCCTCAACAACAATGGCTTATTTTGGCTTCCAAGATTCAGGGAGGCAGAAACATAAAGTATGATTAGAAAAAGGTCCCATATCAGGGTTAATATATATTTTTTTGCTGATCCAGTTGGACTTGGACCAACGCTTTTTAAAAACAACAAAAAAAAACACATTTTTATCATAGATCACATTTTTAGATCAAGTTTATAATTGTATTCGTAAGGGTTAATGCCCGACGAGGTGTCCATTGTCAGGTTTTAATGGACGACGGCGAGGCGTAAACCGGCCGACGCGCAGCGGAGTATTATTATTATTATATCCAATATTATTATTACCATTATTTTAATGTATTTGTTTTTATTTAAATTAAATCTCTATTTTTTAGTAACAGAGTCAAGTCTTTTTGAATACTATTGTCTTTTTTTAGTCTTGATGCCACTTGGTCTTTAGTCTTGATACCTCTTCTTAGGCCATCCAGTAAGAAATGTGAAAAGGGCTTTCTTTGCTAGGCATCTCTGGAGACAATGATTTATGCCTAAGAGATTTTTAATGGAAGTCTTAGTCTTTAGTGCCAAGTGCATTTCCCTCTAATTTCATCCAGGGAAAGTCTGTTTATACTAAAGCATGTACTTTATCTAATGCGAATTACATGTAGATTTAACAGTTTTTTATTTATTATTATTATTATTTTTTAAAAAGCCTACTTAAATAGTGTATTTCATCAACGTGGGTCCCTGCAAAGGATATGTTTATGGTTGGTGATAAAGCTAACCTTTACAGTGCCCTGCCAGTGTCCTTGGCCCATTTTGCCCTGGCGGACCTGGTGGAAAATGGCAGGAAGCAGAACTGAGTGGCATGCTTCCTGCTGGCCTTTGATAGCCATATCGCAGCATGGCATCATGGGTCACTGTGAGTGCAGAGATAACATCATTGAGGGCTTGGAAGTAGAGAGCACATCATACACTGTGTATATGTTCACAATGCAGTTTTTATCTGTGTTTGTAGTTCTAATCGCATCCTCGTGCAACGCACCATGTGTTGTGAGCAATTATTAGCTGTTTAGAGTGCATGGATCTGCTCTTTGAATTCTAACTGGAAATAGTAGACCATCCAGGTACATTTGGAATACTCATTTCAACATAATAGGATTTGGGACACACTAATTCTAATTACGAATACTAATAAGGATGAATAGTATGCAAATTGGGACGCAGCATTAGTTTTATTTTAGTCATGTTGTTATGTGCTTGTGTTATTTTTATTATTTTTTAAAAAGTTGTCAAGGCCAAAACCATTACATTTTATTTAGAATTTTGATTGGCAAAGAATTGATCTTTGATCAGAAACATTTAATGTACAGTGAAGGAGATGATTCCTTGAGACCGCTGTCTGCGTTGGCATTTCCAGAAAAAATGCTTTGTGGCATGCTGGTGCCAAAATTACATTTATCCACTTTCATTTTTATTGTATGGAAAAGAATACTCTGCTAAACATCTTTTGTGTAAAACGGGGTGTTGAACAATGTGAGGGTGGCTAAATAAAAGAATTAAAACTGTAAATAACAAGACTATTCATATAAGTTCCTTGAGGATTTGTCCTCTTTGGTTCAACATGGAACCAAAGCGCACTTCAGAAGTGGGGATAACCATCTCATTTAGCTGTTTGGAGACAGAAACACATAGCTGGGTAATAGAAAGCACCTGACAAGGTTCACTAATGCCAAGACTGTGTTTATGTCTGAGTTTTTGTGTCTCATTGCCAAGTCAGACCACTCTGAGGGCACAGGAACATCTCAGACATGAGCTTCTCCCCCTCCTCTGTCCTCTCTTGTCCCCATCATGACCCTTCTTGTCATCTCCTCTTGCAGGCACCAGTATATTCACAGTATATGAGGCCGCGTCTCAAGAGGGATGGGTCTTCATCATGTATCGAGCCATCGACAGCTTCCCACGCTGGCGCTCATATTTCTACTTCATCACACTCATCTTCTTCCTCGCCTGGCTGGTCAAGGTGGAAAAACCCTTTTCTTCTCACACCAGTGATCTGCAAAAACATAGTGATAATCGGAACATGGGTCATCCTTCATTTCTAGTCATAGAAATGTCAGGGTTATTCGGGATCTCTGTTATGCTCTCTTTAATGCATTTATCTGATCAGAAATACAGTAAAACAGTTAACAGTAAATATTAAAATTACTTTTCTACTTTGATATATTTGAATTTATTTCTGTGATGGCCTGGTTGAATTTTCTAAATATATTAAATATATGATTTCTATATCATTCATCCCATCAATCATGGGCATTTATTCATTTTGTTTGCTTGTTTTCCCAGAATGTGTTCATCGCTGTGATTATAGAAACCTTTGCTGAGATCAGAGTGCAGTTCCAGCAAATGTGGGGATCCCGGAGCAGCACCACGTCAACAGCTACTACACAGGTGAATGCAAACACACTTACGCACATCTGCACTGCAAGACTTGGTGTGTGATTCATTTTCCACATTTGTTAGTCTATTTGATCATCCCTCTTTTCAAAATATATATAGGCAGATGTAATTAAACCATATCAAAATCAGCATTTATGATTAAGCACAGACTGATGCACACCAGCACAGACATCTGAAGGAATTCTTCCCATAATTCCCTGGAGGCTGTGAGTCTGGTTTCTCTGGCCTTCAGCAGGCAGGATACACCCAAAAGCAAGCTGTTTTTTTTTTTAAATAAATTTGGCTGCTTGTCAGTTGGGGGCCCCGAACAGCACAGAGAGATCTGATTGGGCGGCTGGCAGACTCGAGGGTGAGTCATAGAGGAACGTGGCTGAAAGCGCAGCAGGCCGCAAGAAAGGAAAAGACAGAGAACGTGTCATTCAGCTTGGATTTGATGTGACTGATCGAGAGAATCAATTAACCCTAAATGCTCTTGCTTTACTGCCTGCAAAGCTCTCCTGTGGGAAAACCTGTCCTGATGATTTTATACAAGCATCGCCTACCTAAATGTTTAGTGAGAAATTCGCACTTACCAAGCTAATGGTGCAAATGCACAGAAAATCTGGAGCGGAGGCGTGGTGTGAAAAGTTGTGTGTGTAATTGTGTGAACTGAGGCATAGTGTCTCCCTGACTGTGCCAGTCACGGTGCCAGAGCCAGTCCTGGAGCAAAGCCTTGTAGGTTGGCATGAGTGGAGCTGGCAGCTCTTTTTTGGTAGCACAGGAGTGATCTGACCACCGTTATTCAAGTCTTATGATTGTGGAAGTGCACTCTGGAAAAATAACGGCTATAGCACACAACATTTATTCCATAACTGCTTTAGTGGGGTAAATCTCATGAAAGAAATGTCTGATGCATATGTCATCTCAAAATGAAACAAACAAAAATAACAAATCATGAAGAAAACCAAGGACTTTTGAAATTCTCATTTCTAAAATCCAAAACAAATCTTGTTACTGGAATACATGAATGAAAATTGTCAAGTCTTATACAACCTCAAATCCAGAAAAGTGGTGACATTTTGTAAAATCCAATAAAATCAAGAATCTGTGATTTGTTAATTCTCTTTAAAGGAGCATTTCACACATTTGAACATTAATCTTTATTGAAAGTGGATCATATATGTAGTCGAAATGTAAAATAATTTTTGAATTTGATGCCCTCTTGACTGAGAAAAGACAGAAAATAACTGAAGAGCGCATTTGGATGTAAGACAACAACTCCCACAATGCACCACATTGCACGGCTCTGCAAGCCACACCCATTAATCCAGAACAGCACAAAAACCTCAGAGAAATCACTCTTTCGTCTACAAGGCTAACTTTAGCTGCCACTAGAGTTTGAAATTCATTTCACATAAAATGACTAGTTAGTTGGCTGTGGCGTGCAGGACGAGGGCGAGGGATATAAGAGGATGGCGCGAGGCAGGAGTGATAATGAACGACACCTGTGAAACAAAACGGTCCCGCATCTCTCATGGAGGAGCGGACGCATAAAGGAGGAGCAAAGACGGCAGATCAAGAGAGAAAAACAGGCCTGATTTTATGTTGTGTTTTGTTTCTGTTGTATGCAACGTTACAGCAGTCGTCAATGAGGGGCTGCTGGCTTATACTTTTGTTTTGTATTTGTTAGGGATGTAACGATTCACTCGCAACCGGTTGGAAATCGATAATAATGTGTGACCATTCAAGTCGGTTGAAATGTTAAACGAATCGTGATAAACAAGGTGCGTCAGTGTTTCCATGGCAACCATGTGTTGTATTTATTTTACTCTTTCTCTAAATGTATGCATTTATTTATTTTTTAAATAATTTGTTGATGGTTGTGGCATATTTTACTAAATGTGTTCTGTTTTTTAACTCTTTCTAGTTTAATGATGCAAATTATGACAAAATTAAAATCTTTCCTTTATTACAATGTAAAACGCCTGTCAATGTGGTACTAATTTTACAGTCCTTTACCTAGTGTGCGAAGGTACCAGTGTCCAGCCTCTTGACCAGACAGACAGAAACAGATGAAACAACCTTGAAGGGATTTTTTTTTCAATGCAGTTATTATTTGACAAATGTCTGAGAAATAATAAAAGAGACACTTTATAATTTGTCTTAAATTTGATTTGTTCAAAAAATCATGAGAACATCGTATCGTGAAACCGGCATCAACCCGGTCTCATCCCAAATCGTCATATAACTGACGTTTTGGGACGTCTTTTGACCATACGTCAATATTCGCCTTTTTAGGGCCCCCTTAAACGTCGGTAGATGAGGTTATGGGATCCTAACTCTACCCCATACCTAAACTTAACCCTAAACCTAACCCGTCACCTAACTGACGTTAAAGGTAAAGCGTCAGTTGTATGACGGCCCGGGATCGCCATCTACCGACGTTTAAGGGGGCCCTAAAAAGGCGGATATTGACGTATGGTCAAAATACGTCCCAAAACGTCAGTTATATGACGATTTGGGATGAGACTGTGTTACCGGCATCGTGAATCGTATCGCATCGTGAGTTGAGTGAATTGTTACATCCCTAGTATTTGTTAATTTTACTTTTAAAATATTTAAATGTTCGCCGGTTCCTGCCTCCTCCTTCACACAACAACGACGCCTGTTAACGTTACATTGGCAAACTCATTAGTGGATTACTCCTCGTTTGTATTTCTTTCTATATGGTGAATTACTGCATGATACCTGGATGTTCAGTCAGTCGAAACTAGGATGGTTTACATCAGTGCTCGTCTGATTCAGAGATTTCGTCCAGGAGAAATTGCCATCGTTGAAATTCTCCGCCCAACTCGAGCCAGTCCGGGCTCCTCGACCGCGACAGGCAGCCGCCTCCTGTTCCTCTATCAGCCTCAGCTGCTCTTCACTACTGTGGCTCGTAAAGATAGCCACGAACATCGGATTCGAGCAGCAGAATTTAAAAATCCTCTTCTTCCATATCATGTTTAGTTTCTTCTGTCATTGTCATAACTTATCTCCACAGCGCTTGTTAGCTTAGCTTCCAAACAAGATGGCTGATATTGATTTCAGTATCAATAATGAGGAGCTAATGTCTGTAGTCTCTACACTTTTCAATGAAATGGGACTTCCTGCTTATAATGACACAAAATTACGATTTTCACGTCATAGTAAGCAGTAAAAGTAAAACACTTAAATCCTTATTTCTCTAATCTCAGGGGAAAATAAGGGAATAGACCATGACCATTAAATAATATAACTGGGTTTCTAAAGATACATAGCTTAATGCAAATATTTACAAATGTTTTTGTAATTTTTGTCCATTCTTGCCTGATACAAGCAGCTCAACAATCTGTGGTCATCATTGTCTGATTCTTATTTTCATGATGTGCCATACATTTTCAGTAAGACACAGACTAGACAGATGTCTCTAGTCTATACAATACCAATACAGGTATATGCCTCCACATCAGTGGGAACTTCACACAAGTGCACTGTTGCATCCCATACCATGGCAGATGTTTACTTTTATACATGTGTAACAGACAAGTGGCAATTTCTTGTGGCATTTCTTGATGCAATAGCTTTGTCAAGTTCTTTTCCAAAGAACCCAAGCCCATATGGCTGTATTTAATATGAGTAAATAGTAGCATGACTCTAAAGGCTCAAAGGTCATGCACATTCAACTGAGGTTTCCTGCCCTGCCCTGCATATGCTAAGATTCCCTGAATTGTTCACAATATTATGTATGGTAGAAGGTTCTTTTTGCAATCTTGCATTTAGAAATGTGATTTTTGAATTGTTTAACAATTCTCTCATGCTATTTGGCACAAAGTGATGATGAGCAATGGCCCATTATTGCTTGCAAAGACTGAGATGCTCCTTCTAAACTCAATCACGATACCCTCACCTATTACCAATTCACCTACTGATTGTGGACTGTTTTAAAAGAGTTTAACTTGGATATTCTATTAGCTTTTCACTTTTATTTGGCCTCTGTCCCAACTTTTTTTGAAACATTTTTTTTTCCAAAATACACGAAAGTTAGATTTAGATTAGATTAGATTTATTTGACCACTTAAATATAAAAATATGAAGAACAGTAAGAAACTGTTGCATACATTAAAAACAAATACAAAAGTAGTCAGAGATAACACAATAAAGCCGAAGACTTATTTCCATTGTGGTCCCTTATAAAGGCAGCAGAAGAAGTCAAGTGGCAACACATCACACATCAATCATTCACATACATAAACCAAATTCATACATATTATACAAAAAATAATAAATAAATAAATAAATAAATAAATAAACTTAGTATTATAAAAACTACATTTGGCCCCTAAACCATAATTTCAGACCTTGTTTAAATCTGGGGGGAACAAAATCAGTTGAGCTACCCCTAGTGGAGTACCTGTGAACTTCGTCTACTCTATTAAAATAATTTCTAAAATATTTAGGAACATCTCCATAAACAATTTTTTGTACCATACCCAGCTGCATCTGAGACACCCGATCCTCAACTTTTAACCATCCCACCCTTTCAAAGTGGGAAGATTCCAGATGAGTTCTAATGGGGAGGTCTAAAATTAGCCTTATTAATTTATTTTGAGACGTCTGAAGTCTATGTTTCAGGTTTACTGTGAGACCATTGTACCATGCACCACAAGCATAATCAAAAAATGGCTGAATTAAAGCTCCTGCCAAAACTAGCTTGGACAGTTAAAAAATTGAAAATCTTTTCTTTGTACTTTTGTCAGTTAAATAAAGATTAAAAAGAATGAACAAATCATCACAGACTCTTTATTTATTGCAATTTACAACATGTCCCAACTTTTCTGGATTTGTTTGTTTTTTTCTCCAGAATCTAAATAATGTTATGATGTACAAATTGATATTTTTTTGTATGTAAAAGTCTTCACTGTCAATATTTACAATCAATTTAATGCTGAAAAACAAAATCTTCAAGACCCTAAACTTTTAAATGGTAGTGA